TTGTTCGTCACGCAATGCTGTCACGGCATATGCTGCACACTTTGATCTATTTTGTATAGAGCACTCTCAGGATAAGTGAAACAATTTATCATTGTTCATCTGTTTGTTCATATATGTAGTAATATGTGTATATATAAATAATCGTATTCTATAGTGTACGTGGCCTCGGTCCAAATCATGTTTGTTGTACGTTCTGATGTTTCAGACAACAGCTGATAAAGCTAGTGGCTGTACTCACCAGAATTTTAAAGAGGGGGACATGGGGGGGTTCTGAACACCGCAACACCGCCAAAAAAATTAACGAACACCGCATCACCGCAAGAAAAGTCAACAAAACACGGTCACTGTCACACGTATTTTTAGCGCCATGATTCGTTCATCTACACCTAAAATAATACTTGTATACCTCAACAATTTTCCACAAAAAAAACCACATCACAACGCTTTTCATTGCGCATATGTCGATACTGCTGTAGGCTCGATTACCAGCCGCTGTTCGGGAAAGGAGCCCGCGGTTGTAAACTGGACTCGAGAAAGCGGCGGAAATCAAGCCTAGATGGCAGAGATCGAGTTACATGTCAAGTTACGTATAAATGAAAACAGCTTCGGATTTGCAGCCGAAGCATATTAAAGATTGACTAGAAAGTGATGGTCTGTATTTTGTTACAAATTATTGACCTCAATGGTACGTGTTTGTCATAAATTAGCATGGATTAATGAAGTTTACACGCTAAATTTAGGGAAAGGTTCAAATTTAGGTTTGAGAAAGGTAAATCCAAAAACCCCAGCACTGCAAAAAATTTCATTTAACCGAACACCGCAGCGTGAAAAACACAAACATCGCACACCGTAGGGTTTGAGATCACCGTAACACTGCAAGTTGAGATTTTATTCACCGCATCACCGCATTAAAAAAACATCAACACAGCAACGCCGCAAATCCCAATGTCCCCCTCTTTAAAAAAATCGTCGTAACCAAATTATAGATCAATGAAGCAAGAACTAGCTGAAATAAAAATAGGAAATCATGTGTCTAATTTGTGAGAAAAACAGACTAAATTTAATTAGTAATTACATGTACGTGAGTAAATAGCCCTGGCCATGCTATTTTATTTGGCGTATTTCTTTTGCTTAGTGGAGGCATTGGTATGTTTGTAACACAAAATAGAGGACTGTTGTCAATACAGTCCAAACTTATTGTCAGTAAAGTATTGTAAATAAAACACGTACTGACCGGTTACCCCTGCGGCCACCATTTGGTCGTTCCGATAAGGGTTTCATTGTTGTCTTTACCCCTATTAAGCGGCCGCCTAAAATTCAAAAACTTTATTTTGGAAAAGGCGATGGCAGATAAGAGTCTGAAATTGAAGGTGCCTGATGAGTGATAATTCAAACACACATCTATCATGATTGCCTTGAATTGACTCCATGTTCACCAAGAAATTTATAACCCGATAGTGAAAAATTAAATATTCACGGTACACCAACCTCTATTTAAGCGGCTAGCCCCATTAAGCGGTCACCACCCATTTCCCCGAGGGTAGTCCACTGTATTACATGTAAACCAAAAATAAT